GCATGAAGAAATGCACAGAGCGATTAGATAGAATCGGTGGCTCACATCTTCCAGGTTGGGGCCCGAAAGACTGCAACTGGCTGGCTAGAGACATTGAAGGATATGGTGACTAACCGACAGCAGTGGCGTTCTTGTCATTTCTGAACAAGTCCGAATGCTTGAAAAGGTGCGTATGCACACTTAGATTGTGTACTCTGTGTCGATCAAAGAGGTTCTTCTTCTTTGCCTCCCTCCAATTAGGCCCAATCGTTCTCCGTCTTGTGCTTTATCACTCTTCACTCGTTATTTTCCTAACACCACTCTATATGAATTCCCCATTTCGACATTCCAATCTTCATTTCGCTCTTTTATCCAAATGGGCAACCAAAACCGGCGCACGAAAGTGCATGGTTAATGGTTGTAACAACTGAACTGAACCTTATCACTTGATTTGTGTACATTGTGAGCTTGGTGGCGATCAGTGAAGTTCGCTTCACCGTTTTTCGCTGTACGATGTAGGTTTGAGATAATGAGTGATACGGCTGTGTCCTAAACAGTAGCGTTCATACATTTTGTCCATTTCTCTGCAACATTAGTCCACCGAAATTCCAAATTTTCTCTTTGATCCTACTTTTAAGTTTTCCTGTCTTTCTCCTAACGTTTATCCAAATGTCCAGCCAAAAGACAGCAACCAAAACCAGCGCAAGATAGTGCATGGTTAATGGTTGTACAAACTGAAACTATTACATGTCAGAAGAAGGGGCAAAAGAGAGGACTGGGTACAGAAAACAAAGAATTCAACGGAGGCTGGGATATCCTAACAAAACTCCACTTATCACTACCCACCCCGCTAGATGCAATGATCAACGCGGTCCTGATTATCCTGCAGTATGGAACTGTTTATAGTTCGTGTATTTGTTGGAGGTCGATGAACGGATACTGCTCGGGTGTCCAACTACTAAGCGGGAAGATCGTCGGTCTTCAGTGTATGTGACGCAACCTAGAAGTGTCAGAGCGAAAATTAGAATAACGAAGCATAACAGTTCGGGGATTGCTAGGAAATGTCTTTACTTTTTCTTCCATGAAATGAATGAGAACATGGGTTCTGGAAGTTTACGAACAGTGTGCAAAACTGATTCACGATACAGTGGATCAAGGGTAATAATCGCCAGTGATAAAGTTCAACAAGTAAAAAGTCAAAAAGTAACAGAAAATAACAGCAAAATCAGCTAACCGAAATGAAAGACGAACAAACAATGCGTGGTCAGACTTGAACATCAGCAGAAGAAAGACAACGGAAAATCCACTGATCAAAGTATGGCACTCAGTTTATTGTTCATACACGCGTGCCATCAAAACACGCATGAATTCCGCCTGAGCGCGAAGAATGGTGGAAAAGTCTTCGATACGATCCTCTGCGAAAATGAAAAGAGCACAGCGATATCATAATGTGCATAGGATTAGGTAAGTTCGTAGCTGTAGAACACGGTATTAAGTGGTGTTATTTTTTTACACAACTCTCCTTTGATGAACAGGAGCTCAAAGTCACAAGGACCCAATGTTCACTCATGATGACCAGCAAGCTAAGACCTGAGACTTTGGGCATCAAACAATAAACAGCACTAGGGTACGTATGGCGATAAGCCAAATGACACCGCAATGGTGTAACACAAAAATAGGTATACCGATGTAGCAACATCTCTGAGACCCACAAAAAGTTGGGCAACCAATAAACATGCACTATAGGGTGCCGGTTTGGGTCTTTTTCTGCTGCTCATTTCTAACTGACAAATTGCTCCTCCCCGTGTTTATTTGTTCTCACAACCTCTCTAGGGGCGTCAGTGGAATCAGGAGAGAGATGCCCGATCAACGGGCTCTCGAGAGACAGATTTGTCTGGCCTGCATGTTTCAGGCATGACGAGATTTGCAGCTGTGAAAAACCATCCTGTGTGGATCACAGAGTCACATAAGGCATCAAGGTGCGGTCTTGTCTTGATACTGGAGACCTGTAATTTTCTATTACGTATCGCATCTGCAGTTAAAAGCTGAAATGTTGACTAACTGAACCTCACACAGAAGTAGTAGAACCTTACCTACATGGTGGAGACTGATCTAAACACAACAACATTTCCAATAACATCGCACGTCTTACCTAAGTCGTCGGTCTCATACAGGTCGACAATCACGTCTTGAAATGCTCGAGCCAGATGATCCAAAAACTGTCTGCGGTTGGTGTGCTCACTTGCACGGCAAGCGTCCCCGACCAGACCAACGAGATCCGTTAAGCTGGCGCGTATTTTGACCTGAAACGAAGAAGTGGGTGCAAAGTCACGCGTGTGTAAACCAAGGCTGATCGGCATTTGGGGGTGAACTGATGAAAGCGCTTCTCCCACTCATGTAGTTTAGATTGACATTCATTTGCTACCTGCATAGAACCCCTATAGAATAAGACATTAATAAGTCAAGACAAGAGAGTTAAGCACTACAATAAACCGGTTGATCATAAAGCCAAACTACAGATATTGCCATTTTTATCGAATTGCGTATACTACTGTCATGGGCTTTGAAAATTACTGACTGTTTCCAATGAAACTGCAAAGATGAATCTCTATTTAAAAATCTGGACGTCCTATTTCTTCCACCTTACTTTTGCGGTCATCTGTGTGGTATGAACATGATTGTTGGAAACAAAATAGCTTATTGCTATTGGTTTTAAAACATGTTTTTACAATAAGTCAATTCCGTGTAGCTTAACGCACAAAACAATGTGATGCTTAATTGATAAGACGCATTTTGCACTACCAACGTGAATTACCAGATATTGAGTGGTGCAAAATTTTGCACTTCTTAACTGAAGGGGCATGTTCATCTAGAACGTGAGGCAGCTGGGTGATCTTCTTTACAACTTGAATCAATCTCTTACTCCTTTTGAGGTTAGCGAGAACCCGCGTCACGTTAAAAGCACATCTGCGACACGCAGGTGTCTTCGGTCGTATTCTTTCTTCCGTGCTGTTGTTGGGGTTAAGCGAGAGGCGATCGTACACAGACCGAACAAAACATTATCAACCACCCTAAAAGATTTGAAGACCTCACATGTTGGGCACACTAGTAAGTACAAATGACAATAGGCTGGTCTCTAAATCCTGGTTAAGCAAACTTTTGCTGACGAGTGCAACATTCCGTTACTTTAGTGGCTAAATCCGAATGGGCGTCTCAAAACACCCTTTTCTTTAAAAAGATGAAACATAAAAAAGCACTATTATTGCTAGCTGTATCTGTTTAATCCCGATATCGCTCTATACGATGCCCCTATATTCTGCTATTATTGTTGTTCCATTGGCTTTATGCTTGTTCTCGAGCCGATGATGCATAAGTTCAGTCCAGTTCAAACAACCAGTAGGCATGCACTACCATGCGTCATTTTTGGTTGCTGCGTTTGGCTGCCCATTTGGTTAAACAATGTGAGAACAGGAAGGTTTAAAATAAGGTCAAAGAGAAAATTTAGAATTTCAGTGGACTAATGATGCAGAGAAATTGGGAAGAAGTACGAACGCCACTGTTTAGGACACTCAGCCATATCACGCAATGTGTCTAATCATCAGGTATGATCATCCCGAGGTTAGCGGCCAGCGAGTCTAACGGGACCTGTGTGACCCAGTCTTTTGGTTAGGGTTTTCATACTCTCGTGCCAGGTCTTCGTTTGACCACCCTTGACCTTTTCCAACCGCTGCCTGCTTCGGCAAACATCACTTGCTGTGGCAACCCATTTGGTGACATGCCTAAAACATGCTCCAACTAGTGTAATCAATGGAGGTCGACCACTTGCTCCAGTGGGCAACCGCGAATACCTAAAACTGCGGCTGACCTCGGCATCGCTCGTCCGGCTGCCCCACCAGATTCGTGCAATGCTGCCTAGATAAACACCGACAGTCTATCCTCCCTGTTTTCTTAACGAACAAGTTACTGCACCGTGAAGCAGAACTGGCCGAACAGCCGCAGCATACGCTCGACCCTTCACAGAGAGCCGGATGTCGCGTCTGTGCCACGGATGTTTTAAGTTGGCAAATGCCAA